CACAGGAAGTGCTGAAGAAAACAGAGGGGTTTTTATTGCACTCGTTGGCTTCTGGGACCGAGTCCCTCATGACAATGTCTCCTCATATTCCTTGGAGGACGAACAGCCCTGCCTGGAGCTGCAGCCAAACAAGATTCCCCAGGTCGGTCAGGTCAGGGGAAGTTGTCTCGTTATCGTGTGCATTTTTTAGATAAAAATCACCCTGCGATTGACTCACTCTTGTGAGTTCTTTTTATGCCTAGCAGGAGGGATGGTCTGTCCCAGACAACACAACACAGAGTCGGAGCAGGGGCAGGGACAAACCCCAGGCTCATGGCCCAGGTGCCTGAGGCTCAGACTCTGGGCCCCACTCTTGTCTCAGAGCCACGATGAGACCCCAGGAGCTCTGACTCCCAGTCCCACCTGCTCTAACCATTACACCCGGGCTGAGTGTAGCAGGGAGTGGGGGGGGATGGCCCAGCTGGGAGTGTTCTCATTTTTCAGACCCACTGAGCCCACTGCTCCAACAGAGCTGTAGGGGGCTGGGTACCAGGCATGGGGGCTCGAAGTGGGGGCTTCCTCATTAGGCAGTGCTGCTGGCCATGCCCCAGCCTGGCACTAGGGGGCGCTGAGGGGCTGGGCTGGGAGGGCTCTGTGGGACGGTCTCAGATGGGTGGATCCCACTGCTCCAGCCTGGCACTAGGGGGCGCTGAGGGCCTGGGTCGGGAGGGCTCTGTGGACAGTTTCAGGTGGGTGGAGCTCACTGCCCCAGCCTGGCACTAGGGGGCGCTGAGGGGCTGGGTCGGGAGGGCTCTGTGGACGGTTTCAGGTGGGTGGAGCTCACTGCCCCAGCCTGGCACTAGGGGGCGCTGAGTGACAGGCCGGGGCTAGCCGGGTCGCAGGGCACTGGAAAGCCAAGGCAGGGGAGGTGGCGTCTTTTTCTGCTCTGAAAGATTGTCTAGGGGTGGCTCTTTGTGCCAAGGGACTGGAGCTGCGAAGGAGGAAAGCCCGAGACTTAAATGTACTTAACCAATTACAAACTTTGACTACAATCTGATTATATTAAATTACTGTCTCTGATTTGTTTGACAACATAGAATGCAAATAAAACATACAGTAAAGAAAGTTAATACAACAATAATAAAAACTCCTCCTACAGCCAGTCCCTTGCCACAAAAAGCCACCCCTAGACAATCTTTCGAACCTCTGGTTCGTCATGCTCCAGCTTCTGTCTCTCCCACCCGCAAGAAGAGACGCCGCCTCCCGAACCTTGTGCATCTGAACTCCTTTGATTGGTCCAGGCCTGTGGGTCTCTCGTGTTTGTGCCCTCAGCCCCCTTTGTCCTTTACTTACCCTATTCCTGCACTGGGAGATTCACCGGGCGTTGGTCAGATCCTTCTGGCTAGGGCGATGGTGGGGGAGGTGCAGGAGTCAGGGCGGGGGGCTCAGAGTGGGGGTCAGAGGAGGGGAGGTGTAGAGGGCTCAGGGCAGGGGGTGGGAGGTACAGGGGCTCAGGGCAGGGGGTGGGAGGTACAGGGGCTCAGGGCAGGGGGTGGGAGGTACAGGGGCTCAGGGCAGGGGGTGGGAGGTACAGGGGCTCAGGGCAGGGGGTGGGAGGTACAGGGGCTCAGGGCAGGGGGTGGGAGGTACAGGGGCTCAGGGCAGGGGGTGGGAGGTACAGGGGCTCAGGGCAGGGGGTGGGAGGTACAGGGGCTCAGGGCAGGGGGTGGGAGGTACAGGGGCTCAGGACAGGGGGTGCAGGATTCCAGGTGGGGAGGGGCTCAGACTAGAGGGCGCAGGGGAGGGGTGGGAGGTGGGGGAGCTATCTGGGGCTGCCTCTGGCAGTGAGGATGGTGCTACTCCAGAGACGGTTCCTCCTGGAGGGCAGGGTTGTGTTGCCCGGGGTGAGGATGGGCTGCCCTCCCAGCCAATAAGAACATAAGAGCAGGCAAACTGCCCCCCCACCCCTCCGGTGTGTCCTCATGAGTTGGGGGTACAGCTGTACTGCCCCCTGCTGGCCGGCTCGTGGGTGGATCCTCACAGGGCTGGCTGGGGCTAAGCTGCCCAGCAACTCTTCATCAGGGAGTGGGGGAGTCCCAGACAGCTGCCCCCTGGCTTCCAGCTTTTCACAGGGATGTGTGGGGCTTACCTAGGCTAGCGGCCTGCAATATTCATAACCCCA